CAGCATGCCTGTCCTAGGAATCACTCACCAAGATACTGATTATTATGGAGTCAAACAAGCCTGGATTCCAACTTCAGTTTCCTTACTGACAAGCTCTGAACCTCAGTTTCTCATTCATAAAATGAAGATAATGGTGTCAACTGCATCCAGTTTTCATGAAGGTTACATCAGATGATATTAGGGTTTCTTCCCTTTACTAGATCATTCAGCGTGGCTCTTCATCATTACTAGTGCCATCATCTTTGCTTGGACCACTGCCCTTTTCTGTGGATCTTCTTCATTCTTGTCAGTCATTTCTTTTCCTCCTTCAGAATGGACTTTTTCCGCAAGAGAGGGGATGTGCCCGCAACCCAGGTACATGCCCTTGACCGGAATCGAACCTGGGACCCTTCAGTCCACAGGCCGACGCTCTATCCACTGAGCCAAACCGGCTTTGGCTTTATTTTTAATTTAAAAATTACAGCTGACATTCAATATTATATTAGTTTCAGGCTTACATCATCGTTTCTTAACTCCATATTCTTCTAGAGCAAGTTCAGCTTATCTATTAACCTATCTGATTTATAATACATTTTTCTGTACTCACTAATGAGTGGCATTTATGGATTTTTAACTGCCTTTTATTTTCATGATTTATCCTTAGGTGTAAATGGTAAATTTCTTGAGGACAACAACCGTGTCTTCTACTTTTCTGTTTGTGTTTTCTATCCTTATGTACCCATTATACTCGTGTGTACACGGTAGATGTTCCCTAATAGAAAGAAGTAGGACCTCCTAATCCCCACTACCGTTTTAGGGAGAACATACATGAGCATCCTAGACAGGTAATAGGCTGCCTCTAGTGGACCCAACAGAGAATAAAAATGAATTATACATTCGATTTGTACTTTACAGCTTGTACTTTAATCCTCTTAACAACCTTACGAGGTAGGTGATCTTAATTTTCACTTTATAGATTAGAAAACTAAAATTTAGAGAAGTCGCGTGACTTACCCAAGGCCACACAGGTTGAAGGTTATAAAGACAAGTATTCAGGCACAGATCTGCCAACTCCAGGCCTAGCGCTCTTTCTACTGTCCAGAGCTGCTGTGCACTGGGTCATGGGAGTATATTTTTCTGACCGCATTCCTGAAGCTTGTTTGACTGTGGCTCAGCACCAATAGATTTAGAGTGGATTGATTTGGTCAAATGGCAGGATTAGGAGAAAAAAAGACTAGTTGAATTAGAAGTATGGACTTAGTGTGTATGTGAAAATATACATAACATATATATTTACGTATATATGAGTACATCACTATAAGTACACTATATTGTATGAGAGTGTTACATTCAAGATTGACTGAAAATACTAACGTGGTAGTCTACCAAACAGATGTTAAATAATCAGGTTCTATGGTGTATTTTCCTCCCTCCCTTTTCTTCCAAGCTATTTTTCCAACTTTCACTTTTGTGAACAAAAAAAGTGAATCATGTTATCCAAAGAAATATATTTTACTTTGTTCTCTTCAAAATAGAGATGTTTGAGGAGTACAGAGCTCTAAAGGTGAGAGTAGAAAAGTGATTTTACCAGTTGGCCCAGGACCCAGATCAGGTGCCCTGATCAGGCCCTGCCACCTCTGCTCAGACCCCAGGCCTTTGGTGCCTCCAGAGTGGATATCTCAGTTCCCCAGGTTCCCTGCTGGCAAGAGCCTGAAAGTGACCAAAAAGAGAGCCAGACTTTATTTGATAGATCTAATGGATTGGCCTAATTCAAAAGCTACCACACATCCACTAAACAGCTAAGAACATAGGCAGCCAAGAAATGATCAGGGTTCTTAGGCCCAACTTGGTTTAACAGTGCTGCAGGGTCACTGCTGTAGAAGGTATGATGCTTCTAATTTCTCCCTTCCTCTCCCCCTTCCTCTGCTGAAGGATATTGGACTGATGTTGATCTAAATTTGAGCTTCAGCTCTTGAACCACCATTGTGTCCTGAGAAGAGACTATGCTTTGGAGTAAAAAAATCTCCAGGTTCAAATCTTAACTGTGTGATCACAGGTAAGCTACTTTACTACTAAAGCTCTAGAGTTGTAGATCTGTAAAATGAGAATAAGAATTACTGTGTACAGAGCGTTATTGTGAAGATTTACTAAGTGTTTAAAAGCATCTGTCATAGAAAAGATTTGGTCACTGTTAGCCCCATTTGCTTCTCCCAGTACACACCCTTATCACTGCTCTGAAGACTGTCAGACCGAGGAGGGTCTAGGTTCAGTGCAGTACAATCCAAACCAAGGTCGTGCAGCTGCAGAAGCACCCTCACCAAACTACACCAGCACTGCATAAGTAGTTCTTATTTGACACTGATCCGATCTTTACCAGAGATTTGTATTGAACAAGACCACAGTTTGAGAGGAGAAATAAAGAGGAAGAAAGGCAAAATTAAGAAATCATTATAAAGGAGAACTTCTGAGAGGATCTTAAAGAAATAGTCTTTCACTTGGAGAAAAGAAGATTGAAAGTGAGTCTAACAACCTTTCAAGACCATGGGTAGGAGAGAATAAACAGGATAAGAGCCCTAGTTGCTAAGGCCAGAGAAAGAGGAAAGGGGATGAATTTGCATTAGAGAGGGAGGAAGCAGGAAAGCTTGAACTTGAGGCAAAACTTGTATAGAAAATGAGTATCTTTTATACTCATTTTCTATACAGGTTTTGAACTCTACAGGATTTTCTCTTTTGGAACTCCATCAAAACAGGGAGCTCCTGTCTGTGTGGACTGGACGAGGTACTGAGCTGGCTGCATGGTCTGTCCCAGAAATCTGAGGGGAGGGGGATATTGCAGGGATCATTCTTAAACCCTGGAAAACATAAGTGAAAGCACTCTGAAAGCTTTCAAGGAAAAGAAGCAACATCAGAGTGATCTGTGAGTCAGAGACATAGAATCTGAATGCTAACGTGAGAATGAATGAGGCGTGGGGAGGAAATATGGGCAAAGGGGAAGGAAAAGAAACAATCCATTTTGTTTCCCAGTGACACATGCCACTCCACTCCTGGTGGAGCTGTCCTAAATTCCCTGCTGTAAGCCCCAGTCCTTTTCTGTAATATGAAGTGCTTGGGCTAAACCTTATCTTGAGTGAGTCCCTCCCCATTCTGAACTGTGTTCACAAAATTGATCTAGAGAAAACGTGAGTCCATCTGCGAAAAGCCATCTTAGCCCCAAACCCGAGCTGTACTGAATGAGTGGGTGCTGCACAGAGAGAGGGCCAATATATCTGCTCTGGGGTCCTCCACCCCCACTGGAATCCCCAGGGGCAGGTTGCTTATCCTCTCTGAAATTCAAAATCTTCACTTGTAACATGGGGATATTAGCTCATTTGGGGGTTGTGAGTTTAAATTAAATATTGCAAGTAATAATATCTAATAGTTTCCATGTATCGGGCACATAAGTACCTATTGTATCAATATTCTTGGAATGAGAATTTTTAAACCTTTTAATTGCTCAGCCTTTTATTTCTATTGCTATTGACTTTGTAGAATATACACAACTAAATCATATATGTAGTTTGTTGTGTGGGGTGTGTGTGTGTGTTTTACACACTTGCCTTTTCTTGTTTTAGCAGAATGAAACCTAATTCATTCAGCTTTCCTGAATGGCATATTAAAATAAACACACAACCCATGTTTACTTCTCCACTGCCTCTACATATTCTCTGTCCTTGTTAATTTGTAAAGTAGAAGGAAGAGAGTAATTATTTAGCAGCTCCAGTAATTATTTAGTGGCATATTTGTATGCCACTGGCTTTTTTTTTTTTTTTTTTGCATTCTTAGCAAGCCCCCTGCGTTGCCCCTCTTGACGGTGGCCAGTCGGGGTTTCTTTGGTATTCTGTTGATGTCACTATGTTGGCTGCACTTCTCTACACCTTGGCTATCCCTTTGCAATTTCATCTTGCTTCTTTTCACAGCGTTCCGTTCCCAGCTTCACAAACGGCGGCTGAGAGGGCGCGTCTCCTGCGCCAGGGTGGGGCACCAGGTTACCAGCGGCCTCCTGCCTTTTGGGTTTACTTCCCCGCAGGGGACACCGTAGGCGGCTGTGCGGTCCGGCCACTG